GCGTTTCGACTCCCCCCGGAGAAGCGCTTCTCCGGGAGAAGCCCAAATGTCCGCCCCTCAGCTCTTCTGAAAGGCTGGCATTTTGGCTTCTTCCGGAGAAGGGCTTCTCCGGGAGAAGCCCAAACGCCCGCCCCTCAGCTCTTCTGAACGGCTGGCGTTTCGGCTTCTCCCGGAGAAGCGCTTCCTGGAGAAAAGCCAGCGCGCGCTCGGGAGGAGGGTGGGGGAGCCTTCCCCCGCCCTCCTGCCTGAGCGCTAGCTGGTCAGCCGGCCGAAAAAGCTGATCTATATGTCACTTATTCTGTGTAAAACATCCATTCTGTATAAAACAGAGTAAGAAAATGAATTACACATATGCTTAGTAAGGTTTTGAAATAGGAATGTTACCAAAAAGGAGGAAAATCTGGCTTCTCTCACAGCTCTTTCATTCTAGGCTTAAACAATAAGAGAGCCTAGAAAAGGTAATCTAACAACGTGCATAATGCCAGGTATGTATAAACTCTTCTCAATGCAGAGAGAGGCTATTGATTCAGGATAAACTGAAGTTATTAATGTTTGAGGAGGCTAGGTGTTATTCTGATAATGAGAACAAAGGCTAGAACCAGTATGCCTAGCTTGGAAGATAACACTAAACTCTGCTTACTGCTTTTTAAATTTTGGTAGTTTCTGTATAACAATCCAAGCTCACTGGGTAATATTTTACTGTAAATAAAGAAGCGGTAGTTTCTTACACCCATCCTTAGATCTGAAATGTCTTTTCTAAATATCATCTGTGCAGAAACTCTTTACTATACTTACTGTATCCCATATCTGAAGTTTTATCTGCTTCCCATCAATAGTTATCATTCGGGCACCAAATTCTACACCTGAATAATGAAATGAAATAAAATATTAGCTCTACATTTTAACACAGCAATGAAATAAAATCACAAGTTAAATCAGGACTTTATCATGGTAGGAAACAAGATTCTGTACCAGTTTTTCATTTCTTTTCCTATAATGCCTAGCCCAGCATATACAGTGGTGCCCCGCATAGCGACGTTAATCCGTTCCAGGATTAACGTCGCTATCCGGATTCATCACTATGCGGAGAGAGGACCCATAGGAACACATTAAACTCCGTTTAATCCATTCCTATTGGGGAAAAACTCACAGCTATGCAGGGAATCCTCCATCCGGCCGCCATTTTCGCCGCCCAGTAAGCGAGGGCAGGGTGCGAAAACGCTGCGGGCGGCCATTTTCTGCACCCGGCGGCCATTTTGGAAATGCCGATCAGCTGTTGCCAAAACATCGCGATGCGAAGATCGGTAAGTGAAACGCTTACCGATCATCGCAATGCGATGTTTTGCCTATTAAAACATCGCAATGCGATCGCAAAAAATGTGTCGCTACGCGGATTCGTCGTTAAATGGTGCGCTCGTTAAGCGAGGCACCACTGTAATACTCTTATATAACTTTGTATCAAAGTCGACATTTTACACTAGTTTCCAGATTTCAAGTAAAAAAACCAGACTGTGTTTAAATCAGAGTAGCTGGCTGGATATGCTTAGTGGTTTAGGCATTTGGCTCAAGAGCCATAGATTGGGAGTTCAATTTTCCACTGTGTCCCTTGGGGGAAGAACCATGGGCAAGTTGCATGATTCCAGGGCACCTTGAGAAGAAAGCCACTTCTAAATATTCTTTCATAGAAAACCCTGGAAAGGGTCATCATAAGTCAAAACTTGACTTGACAGCACACTTATTATTAAACAAGCGTAGAAAAAATAAATGCCATATTTTAAATTATTTTACCATGTTTTCAGAATCAGAATTCTTCACATGGTTATATATCAAAGTTTGATCAGGGTTATACATCAAAGTTTGTTTCCTGAATCCTGACTTATAAAGGATGCAACAAGGTACTATCTCCAGTTCAGATAACAGGATAAGCAAACAGTTCCTGGCCTTTTTAGCAATTGTGCTAATGGAAGGAGCAACAAGGTATACAGTGCTTGCATGATCCCTATCTACAAATCTTGTCAAATCGATAAATAAAATGGAGTCATTTAGTCATTTAACTTTTATCAAAACAGGCAAAGTTACTACTGTTCACCATAAACATGTAAATAACTTTCAGATCAAGTTCTATACACAAACTCTCCCATTAGTCATTGACCTGTTTATAAGAACTTACCTATAGTGAGGTCATGCACTGGTTGAAATCTTTTGTCTGTGAACTGCAACAATAAACATGATTTTCCAACACCTGAAAAATAATTTAAAAAAACTTTTAAAAATTTCCAAATATTCAAAAAAATTAAAAGTACTTTAAATTCAGAGATTTTTAAACAACAGTTCTTCAGAGAAGTACTGCTAAGTCCATTGTCTCAGAAAAAAACTTCAGAAGATAGAAAAGACCATTCCAGAAATCAGAGAATGGAAAAATCACTTGTAGCTAACTTATTTCTCTATGTCACCATGATGGCTAAAATCCCAACTTTCCTCCAAACTGATATTAAAATGGTATATTGTATTTCTTTTCAAAAGCTTGACAAGATGCCATTTTAGTAGATATCTCCACATATCCTCAGTAATCGTTCTGAAAACAATGCATTTTTGCTATTCTGCATCTTCCAACTTTTTATAGTACAAAGCAAATACTACTCCAAAAAACCAGGACACAAAAGAAATACAGACTTTGAGCTGTACCAAAAGAAATTACAGACAAAGCAATGGGTCAAATAGCTGTCAGGTTTCATCAGGAACAGAACAATTATACATAAAAGCAAGTACAGTGGGGTCTCGACTTACGAACTTAATCCGTATTGGAAGGCAGTTCTCAGGTTGAAAAGTTCTTAAGTCGAATCTGCATTTCCCATAGGAATGCATTGAAAACCATTTAATCAGTATCTGCTCTTTTCGTTCATAGAAACTAATGGGAAGCTGCTATTCCGCCTTCTGCCACTAGAGGGGGATATTTTTTCTTTTTTCCTTTTAACCTAAGATGACTTAGCTTTAAAAAAAAGGGAAAAAAAGAGTCCGTAACTCAAATCTAAATTCGTAAGTCGAGTCCATATATTTCTATGAGAGGAGTTCGTAAGTCGAAACGTTCGTATGTCGAGCCGTTCGTAAGTCGAGACCCCACTGTATTTCCAAATAAAGGTTTCCTTGTCTTATACATTGTACATATTATAAAGTGCACTATAGTCCACAAGATAATAATTGTTTGGCATCAAGTCAATTCCCGTGACCCTTCTCAGCGTTTTTAAACTATCAAGTACTCAAAAATAGTATACCAGTCCCTTCCTTTGAGGGCAATCTGGAACTATGTGCCCTTCCCAAGGGTACACAGGTTAGTTCCTCTCCAAACAGGCACATTAGGGAATTTAATTCCTAACCCCTGGTTCAGCAGCCAGATGCAGTTCACAAAAACTTGTGTCAAATACAACTGCTTAGCCTTTAAGGTACCAGAAGCCTATTTTATATTTAATTCAAATTAAGTGGAAAGTTCTTTATGTAACTGATTTATGTTAGAACCTTGAATGAATCAAGTACAACTTCATATGGAAATACTTCTTATTTTACTTGACAAATAAAGCAGGTAAGATGTCACAATATTCTTTATTGTTTCTTCTGCAAGAGATTAATACAGACTATCTTTCCTGGAAATTTCAATAAATTATGGGATTCATTCACAAATTTATGTTCATCATTCAGCAATGGTTTCCTACAATCAGCTGCAAGATCAAATGATTAGAAATCAGATGCTCTATGATCTACCCATGATACAGTTTTACTGATACTACAGCTTATAACCACCAATTTCCTTATACAGCAAAGAAATCATGTTAACCTCACTGAAGTATTTTCCTATAAATTATATCCAACACAAAGCAGATAGAGAACTGCTAATGAACAGAAGAGGGCAGATCTTGGTGCAATCCAAGATGGCTGGAACAATTTCAGTGGTACTTCTAACATATATAAACTTGGTACCTATGAGTCTGATGGCTTAGTGCAGGGGTTGAGCATGAGGGCCATATTGCATATTTTCAACATTTTTGAGGGACAAAGTAACGTGCACATGCGTGGGTGTATATCCCCCCCTGCACAGCCTGAAGGGAACAGGCCAGATAAAACGGTAAGGCAGGCCAGATGTGGCCCGTGGGCTGTAGTTTGGGGACCCCTGACTTAGTGGAAGAGACTGTAAGTTATAACACAGTTACCTCAAAACTCTTCTGATGAGTACTGCTTTGAGAAAATGGATGAGGGCAGCTGGATTTCTTCCACGATCTGGGGTGTAGTGCAAATGCTCTAAGGTAGCAGAGCTCAGTAATTACTGTATCTAGTTGCTACACCACCTTATACAGTATAGATGGGAGATTTGGACTATTAAGGAGTAGATGCTCAACATCAGAGTGAATTTGATTTAATTCAAATTGATTTAACTTACAAAAAACAGATTTTTGATTATTTACATTTTTTAAATCATTTTAAAAATGTAAATCATGATATAGAGGTTTAAATCAATTTGATTCATAAAAAAATCACTGATTACTATATACCCTGCTCCACAGAACACATTTGAAAAGTGCATATACAGAAGCATTATTTACGTCCCATGGATTTATAGAATAAAGAATGAAAACATACTTCATTAGATAGAAAAACAAAAAGAAATAGAGGTGATTAATACGAAACAAAACTTTTCTTATTTGGGGCACATATATTACAACAATTAACTGAAGGAAAGATTGAAGGTAAACATGGATGTCTCTTGGATATGTTTCAAAGACTGATGAGGTCTTAACAGAGAACTAATTCACACAGCAAGATAGGTGGAGATAGGTCAAGATGGTAGCCAACCTCAGCAATTGAAACAGGAGTTGCTCTAGCAAGCACACCTCTTTTTTAAGCAGTGTGGATTTAATTTAAAAAATGATTTAAATCACTAGTCAGCAAGACTTGATTTAAATGTAAAGATTCATTTTTGTTGGTATTCATATTCTATAATATTTGCAACCAGTTGAAGATTTAATATTTAGAATAATAACCTATCAGTTTCATAAAACAGCTATATTAGAACTGATTTTAGTTTAATAGATTAATCACTCATTTTTGAGAAGTACTTAAATTGGTTTATTTAACTAAAACAGTACAGTGGGGTCTCTACTTAAGAACTTAATCCGTATTGGAAGGTGGTTCTCAAGTTGAAAAGTTCTTATGTTGAATCTGCATTTCCCATAGGAATGCATTGAAAACCATTTAATCCGTATCTGCTCTTTTCCGTCCATAGAAACTACAGTGGAACCTCTACTTAAGAACTTAATCCATTTTGGAATGGTGTTCTTAAGTTGAAGCAAAATTTCCCATAGGAATGGACTGAAAACCAATTAATCCGTTCTGGCTGTTTTTTTGTTATGTAGAGGTGCGTTTGTACATTGAAGCATTAGTTCCCATAGGAACTAATGCAAAGCTGGTTAATACGTACTCTACCACTAGGGGGAGGATTTTTTTTTTAACCTAAGATGACCTAAGGTTAAAAAAAGAGCAGGAAAGGTTTTTTTTCCTGTTCTTATCTTGGATTTCTGTTCTCAAGTAGAAGCAAAATTTAGTAAATGGAGCTGTTCTTAAGTTGGATTGTTCTTAAGTAGAGACGTTCTTAAGTAGAGACCCCACTGTAACATTATATAGCATAGATTGTTCATTGTTTGTACATAGTTTTGGAGAACAACAGGATTAAAGTATTCTCCTGAACTTTGGAAAAAGTGCATGTTATCTCAGTTTGGATAACTTGGATTAATTGAATTAGTTTACCAAAAATGCAGATATGTAGATATATACCTTCATGCTACATATCTAACCTCTATTTCATGCTGAATAACCTTTGAACTATAATGTATCTTAAATAGGAAACTATCTTTAGATTGATTTTTCCTCCAAAAGCATTTCATTAAAGTACATTTGATAGAAATAAAAAAATCTGATTTTTCATTTTAAGAAATCCTTGATTTTTATCGACCCTGTTTTAAAGCACATTTATGCTGTATCTGTAGCATCTCAAACTGTGGATCAGCTAAAGCCTAAAGAATAAGATTTCTATTGTGCTTCCTGACTTAGAGAGAGGGTTCACTTTGCTTTTCAAGGAACAGAGAGAAAGAGAAAGGATTGACTTTCAGAGAACACGTGCCTATCCCCTTTACCAGAATTCAATTTCTAGAAGCTTGGGAACACATCTGCCAGTTTTTCTTTTCCCCACAAACCTATTACTTTCGAATCCCTTATTTCTGAAGGCTGGGGAGACCTGGAGGCAGCTTCAGAGGTCAAACAAAGAAAGAGTTTATTTACTCCCATGAATTGGATGAGTCAACAAAAATAAATATGTTTTTAACACTAAAATGTAAAGTTAGTCTGAAATACTATTTATATGCTCACATGGATAACAAGTGCTCACAGGGTAATTATACAGTGGACTTCTTTGCACTTGGCAAGAAATCCCAGAAAAATGAGACTACCTGAGTGGATTTCATTCTGTTTTTCCACCAAGCTCATTAGATACCCTTATGAAAATATGAAAAGAGCTCAACAATATGAAGATCACACAAAGAGGTAGTTCTAGTTCTGCCTTCCAACTCTAGAATTCTATCCTATCCTGTGCCTCCAAACAGGATTCAAGTTAGAATTTAATAGTAGGCATCCTTCAGTCTCGAGAGACTATGGTAATGTGCTCTGTATGGAGGTCTTGGAATAGAGTCTAGTGTGGCTGAGAAGGCCAGTTCAAGAGTGACAATCCCTTCCACACTGAAGACAAATACAATCTGTCCCTTGTCCAGCTCCCTGGTTTTGCTGCTTTTGTGACTTCCTCTTTGCCTCAGCCTGCTGGGCAAGGGTCTCTTCAAATTGGGAGAGGCCGTGATGCAGTGCCTGCCTCCAGGCTGAATGGTCAGATGTCAAGGTTTCCCACCTGTTGAGGTCCATTCCTAAGGCCTTCAGATCCCACTTGCAGATATCCTTGTATCGCAGCTGTGGTCTACCTCTGGGGCAATTTCCCTGCACTAATTCTCCGTACAGGAGAATGGACCCCCCCCCCAAGCCGGTCTCTGGTTCGAAAAAGGTTGGGAACCACTGTTTAGGATTTAAGACTCCTAGCAAACGTGCTGTGTTTCAAGTAAATGTGGTTGTGACAAATGGGTACGGTAGCTGGGGGCGGGGGCTGAGTGGTAAAGGCGGGAAAAAGATGAGGCGAATCTTCTTCAAAATTAACAA